GATAAAACGCGGATTCCACATTTGAGGATAAAACGCGGATTCCGCATTTGAGGATAAAACGCGGATTCCGGAAGCGGATTCCGCAAATGAGGATAAAACGCGGAATTGCGTAAAAAAGGACGAAAAGAAGAATACTATCTATTTGGACTATTTCTTAAAATTATGGAGGGAGGTGGAAAATCGTATTTATCAAGAGCGTCTTCATTTTTATCTAAGTTTCTTTGTTAATGTTAGTAATATTCGGGCTTTGATGGCGCAGGCGTCAGAGGAAGCGCCTTTCACCTCTGAGATCGTGGGTTCGATTCTCGCTACGGATTCGATGTGAAAATAGTCTGTCAACACTCTGCCGAAAGTCATGAGTTTTCTCCGGGTGCAAATAGAGCAGAAATCAATTCAAAGTAGCTAAAATTACGACTTATACGCAAGACATATAACGCTTGTTGGGAACAGATTAACATGAACTTTGTGTCGGATTACTAGGTGTTTATGCATGGTGTTTGTCGGATTGCTAGGTGTTGTACGCATTGTAATTAAGGTTTCCTTTAATTTAATTGCGTATCAACATTCCTTTAGTAGTTGCCGCCCGGTCATATCCTGCTGCGTTCCAGACTTTAGTTCGAAGTTCGAACGCATAATATGAAAAATATCGGTTAAATATTCAGTTGGACATTTGATCGCCTACACGCGTTTTGCTAAAACAGAAATTATTTTAGCAAAAGCAGTGTCTGAGGGAAAAAATGAAAATTTGAATTGATTTCTTAATTTCTGCTCTACTTGAATTGATCAAGTTACAAATTGATTCATATAAATACAATCAATAACTACAACCACGATCATCAAGTTGAATTTTTCAGTTTGCATTGTATGGCGCTAATATGTGACTTGCGCGACAATATTAACACCGTATTATTAAATTGCAATGGAATTTAAATTCGGCTGATACTGATCATCAGTGTGTAATAGCGCATTTGTTTTATCAAAAATCATGATTTTCCAAGCTTACCGTTTGCCCTAGTAAATGGACTAAAACCCAAGTTATCATATACGCAAAACACTTTTGCCGTTCACGCTTCATTGTTTACGTCCAATTAAGACTTCTAAAACTAAACTAAAGAAACATTTAGCTACATAGGACACTCTACTGAACTGATAGGATGCGCAATATTACTTTAAAAAATACTTTACTAAATACTTTATAAATAATATAAATTACTTTTTATACGAAATTTATATTACTTTAAAAAACTCATTAATAATTCAGGAGGAAAATCACCTTGAAAAAAAATCACCTTTGTGAGGGTGAAAATCACCTTTGTGAGGGTTTGGTAGAAAATGCGGGTTGATTTTTTTCTCCTCTTGATCTCGCAAAAAAATCTACCCGCAACCCGCATTTTCTACCAAACCCTCATTTATAAAGTATTTTTTAAAGTAATATTGCGCATCCTATCAATTCAGTAGAGTGTCCTATGTAGCTAAATGTTTCTTTAGTTTAGTTTTAGAAGTCTTAATTGGACGTAAACAATGAAGCGTGAATGGCAAAAGCGTTTTGCGTATATGATAACTTGGGTTTTAGTCCATTTATTAGCGCAAACGGTAAGCTTGGAAAATCATGATTTTTGATAAAAACAAATGCGCTATTACACACTGATGATCAGTATCAGCCGAATTTAAATTCCATTGCAATTTAATAATACGGTGTTAATATTGTCGCGCAAGTCACATATTAGCGCCATACAATACAAACTGAAAAATTCAACTTGATGATCGTGGTTGTAGTTATTGATTGTATTTATATGAATCAATTTGTAACTTGATCAATTCAAGTAGAGCAGAAATTAAGAAATCAATTCAAATTTTCATTTTTTCCCTCAGACACTGCTTTTGCTAAAATAATTTACGTTTTAGCAAAACGCGTGTAAGCGATCAAATGTCCAACTGAATATTTAACCGATATTTTTCATATTATGCGTTCGAACTTCGTGACTAAAGTCTGGAACGCAGCAGGATATGGCCGGGCGGCAACTACTAAAGGAATGTTGATACGCAATTAAATTAAAGGAAACCTTAATTACAATGCGTACAACACCTAGCAATCCGACAAAAACCATGCATAGACACCTAGTAATCCGACACAAAGTTCATGTTAATCTGTTCCCAACAAGCGTTATATGTCTTGCGTATAAGTCGTAATTTTAGCTACTTTGAATTGATTTCTGCTCTATTTGCACCCGGAGAAAACTCACGACTTTCGGCAGAGTGTTGACAGACTATTTTCACATCGAATCCGTAGCGAGAATCGAACCCACGATCTCAGAGGTGAAAGGCGCTTCCTCTGACGCCTGCGCATCAAAGCCCGAATATTACTAGCATTAACAAAGAAACTTAGATAAAAATGAAGACGCTCTTGATAAATACGATTTTCCACCTCCCTCCATAATTTTAAGAAATAGTCCAAAAAGTCACAGTCCTCCCCCTCCCTCCCCCCCCAACACTAATGCATGCATGTGAGACTTCAACAGTTAGGCCTAGGGTAACTAGGTAACTTTAGCCAATCGCTTTTTAGTGGTTGTGACCTTAAAAAGTAATAATTTAAGTTTTTTATACACTATTCTGCTTCTCGTCCTTTTTTACGCAATTCCGCGTTTTATCCTCATTTGCGGAATCCGCGTTTTATCCTCAAATGCGGAATCCGCGTTTTATCCTCATTTGCGGAATCCGCTTCCGGAATCCGCTTACGGAATCCGCATTCCGGTTTCGCGTTTTATCCCTACCCCGAGATACTTTCCGTTTTGTTGTTGTTGTTGTTGTTGTTACACGTCACTAAACTTGTCAAACTACGTGCATTCATTGCGACACATTTAACTGATTTGTCGGCTTCTTTACGTCTTGGACCAGGATTAATTTTAACACCACCAGATAGCATAATAAGGAATACTGAGTAGGAAGCGTATAGCATAAGGCGCAGTCCAAGAATTAGTTTTAACGGATTTGCCAACGGTCGTTGTTTCGACGTTCGTCGACGCTTGAAAGCTTTGGAGTAGTTTATCGCTCTTGTTACTTCTACGCAAACATATAACTCTTCCCAGGTGGAAGTACTTGTTGTTTTGCATGTTTTCAAATGAAATATTCCACAAAATACTACATATATGTAGGTAAAAAGTATCAATTTCCAGGAGCCGGAAATTTTCCGGCTACCGCGGCCATGATTGGCGTGCTAAGGCCATGATCGGCGTGATATCCGTAATACTCGAACAATGACTTCAAAGGATTTTGAAATTATTGTTCAAGTATTACGGATATACAATTTGTAAACAATGTACGTTTTATACAGTATTGTACGGTCTATAGTAATATATGTATCCGTTTTATTTAATAAATTATAATTGTATATGTGTTTGTATATTTTACAAACACAAGACTGCTTCTTGCCAAAATTGAGAAAATATATATTAATGTAATTCCGATCGTTAATAGATTTGAATCCAGGTTCATTCATTTTTTGTTTGTTTTATTGTTCATCTAGATTATGACAAAATTAAATAAGTTTTGTCTGACGTTTCGGTTTCCTATACGAAAACCATTTTCGAAGACTTGAACGTTTGTTCATTTTATCCGTTGATGTTTATCTTGCGTCAGCTGCACGATTGCGTGATTGTCTTCGCGTGCGTTCACATTCAGCGCGCGCTCGTTCATTTGCAATTAAACTATATTACGCGCCTGGCATTTCGCGGTAACATTAATGCTGTCCTTCTCGCTCTTCGTATGCCAGCTTTTCAAAATCATTCTCTGACCATAATGTGATGTGTAACTCCAAGCAGGTCGCTCCTTCCCAATCCATTTCGTGCCTTGTTGCCATATGATGAACTGCAATACTGTTACTAGCGTCTTTATTTGCTATGCAGCGCTTATGTTCTTTAGTTCGGCATTCCAAAGTTCTTCCAGTTTCCCCCAAATAGCTAGCAGGGCACTCAGCGCACGTTATTTTGTAGACTGTTCCCACCCGAGAATTCTTTGGTGATGGGATCTTTGCCGCGAAATGCCAGGCGCGTATTATAGTTTAATTGCAAATGAACGAGCGCGCACAGAATGTGAACGCACGCGAAGACAGTCACGCAATCGTGCAGCTGACGCAAGATAAACATGAACGGATAAAATGAACAAACGTTCAAGCAAAGATTAGATACTATAAAGATGTGTCACTCGACGTATTTCCCTAATGTTTGCGTGTCCGTAATTTTCACTTACTGCCAAAATGGCGGCGAGACTGATGGCGTTGGATTTTACTATTTAAGAGACTGATGGCGTTGAATTTGACACTTACTGGCAAAATGGCGGCTATAAAAAAATCTCGGACATAATTTTCGCAGAGTGACACATCTTTATAGTATCTAATCTTTGGTTCAAGCACAGAGGAAGTATATACAGAGAGTTCACTCAAGCCAAAACAAGCCACCCTCTAGACTTGCCCAAGTCGCTCGCTAGGGACCGCGCGTAGCAAGAAGGGAGCGCTTGAGAAAGACGGAAGCGAGCGACTTGTGTCACTTGCCTGATTTTGAATCTTACTGAAAAATTTGGCGCGAAAATCAATTATGACATAGTGGGCGTTCGCCATGTCGATTTCGCTAGTTCATTATTGTTTTGGCCTCGTTAGTACAGAATAATAATGAGCATTCACTGACGTCACCGGAGCAAAAATGCACCGGTGAATTTGGCGCGCTTGCGGGCGACAGAAGTCCGTCGCTTCCTGGAACCACGAACGGCGGACTTTGGAAAGTCTAGCCACACGCACGATCGGCCATACTTGCGAACATCCTTAAACCATTAACCAAGCAATCCAGCCGTCGTTTGGTCAATTCCGCTGATTTGGTAACCAAAATCAGGAATGTGCAATTAAGAATGTAATAATCAATATTGGAGCTGAGAGGAGGCACATTTTGTAGCTCCGCTAACTTTGAAAATCTCGTTCTAAATTTCATTGTTCTATCGCATTTTACCTATCGCATTGTTCTATCGCTTTTTAAAAATGTTGGTCAAAATCGCATATTTTCACCTCTGTGCCTAATTAAAACAATGCATAACAAAAGAAAAAGCAATTAATCACGAACCTGTCGTAGCTTAGCTATGATTTATTCCTACTTAATAATAATTATGAATATGTGTACAGTTTAATGAAGTTCAATTCATCAACTTAAGTCCTAAAGGGGGTTCATTTTCAATGGTTTTAGACCCAACACTCAACGGTGAAAATATGCGATTCTGGCTAACATTTTTTATCAGATTCGTATTTGCTCATTTTTTATCCATTTGACATGAAGAAGATATCATTCAACAGCTAAAAGCATGAACTTTCGGAATGTGAAAAAATCCCGTTCGTACGCAGAGTAATTCAGATACAATAACGCGCTGAAGTTCGATTACCTTTTTTTTTGATACACTCTGTATAGTTCACTGGTCTAAAGTTCATCAATGAGCGCGGGCGTGGGTTATCGGTGGTTCGGTGGTTCGGTGGGTGGTCATCCTCACTGATCTCAAAAATATGGCGGACTATCATGAATAGCGGACACTGATTGGTCCAATTTAAAGTTTGCAATTATAACGACTGTCGACTGTATGACGACAGCGAAATAGCAAACATTTCTTCATTTGATCACAGATTAAGAGGACCAGATGTCCGACTTCAGTCAAAAAAGCGTAAGGGCTTCGTCACTGCGCATGCCGTACTGCGCATAGCTTAGCAAGTGACTAGAGGCAGTCACCCCCCCGACATTAAATTTCAAAATGGCGGCAACAATTTTATTTTGAGACAACAAACATGAAAATAAACTCTTTTTATTTGCCCGAGAGACGGATTGTGTGGTTAAATTTGTGTTTAAAACTTTCAAAGTCAGTACGCGTATTGGAAAAGTGAGTTTATCACACTTAGTTTGCAATATTTTACGAATTTTTCTCTTTTTCGATCGTCGTAGGAGTGAAAAACTATAGGCGAAATGAAAATGCCACTTTGCTGAGGTATTTGAAGTCATTTTTTACAATGTACGATGTGTTTTCTTGCACTTTCTACGATGTCTGATATTCATTGACAAATTATGTGCATAATTTATAGTTTTCTTTGCATAGATATTAACTAGAAAGCTAGATAAGTAAATTCATATATTAATAGACAACTAGATAAGTTAGTTTTGTTTACAAATTTTACATTGTATGCATGAATGTATACATAGTATTTGTAAATATTAAGTTAATTCATCTATTACGTATTTTTTCTAATAAAAATCTTGTAACAGGAAATGTGAGTTTCAGAAAATGTGTG